TTTCTTATTAAAATCATAAATTTTTATATAGAGAGAAAATTTCAATTTTCACTATGTTTTATTAGTAAATTTAGTCCTGAGTCATTACTTTTGGTCACTACTATATATATATATATATCTATATTTATATATATTTTAATAATAAAAAAATAATTATAAATAATTATATTTTAATTTATATAATTTTTATTTAAAAAATTTTATAAATTAATTATATAGCTAGTCTATAATATATACTTCAATTTTTAATATTATGTTTATACTTTTTATTATCTATAACAAATTAAAAATATTTAGCCCAAACATGTTGGTCCAATATTTATATAATTAATTTACTAATAAATTTTTGTTTATACTGTTCAAAATTATTCAAGTGCCAATACTAAATCTAATATATATATAGAAAACAAAAAAGAAATCTAAAAATAACTATGTAGTTACAAAAACTAAAAATATTTTAATAAAATTTCTGAATCTAATTTAATATTACATACAGATATAATCATTAAGTTTAGTTATATTCAATAAATATAATCAGTTTAAAGAATAAAACTAAATATTGTACTGTATAATTTTAAAAACTTGTATTAATGCAAAGTTTCTAACTTAGTTTAAAACTAATATAATCAAATTTTGAAAAATAATAATAAGTTTTTAAGATATATAAATTTGAAGCTTTCTATTTTAATATTTAACTTAAAATTTCTGCATCAGATATTATTAGAATAACATTTTCATTGCATCACCTAATAAAATTCTTCAAATACTTGATACATATATGTAACATTCACCTAATAATATTCTTCAAATACTTGATACATAAACAAATAATATTTCATTTATTTAATAAAATTTACAATTTAATTTGAATATTTCAGTGTACTCTTATAGTCCGTTTATAAGTTTCTATTGCATAATGAATACATGTATCGATACAATTGTGTAACATAATTTTTTAGTTAAACTTACTAATAACGAAAATGGCCGTCGCTTTAGAAAATGACAAATTCTAACAGTTGATACATAACTAACGAAAAACCACAAAAAATTTCAAAGCGTCAGCAAATTCATTTAGTTCTATAAGAACAACAATTTATCGTGATCAATTCTTAAATTTCCAATTAAAATTTGTAATTGTTCTTAGTCAAATATATCTCGTTCTATTCCGTTGCCTTTACACTGATAAAGGTGTTCTTTGTGACCACAGATAACAATTACGGCGGCATCCTATTTTAAAAATATAGAAAGAAAACTAAAATGTCAATTAATAACCTTTTAAGCGATTGAAAAACGAAAAGCTATTTATTATCTATACTCGTTACTGTAATATTTGTAAACCTTCAAGAAGCTCTATGCTCGCCGAAGCTGTAAAATCAGTTAACATAAGTGTTAATATTCCACACATTTGTTAACATGTCAAAACAATTTTAATATTTAATATAAGAAACTTTTATTAACATATGATTGGATTTTTTATCGAGTCAGTGAAACAAAAAAAAACGTGTCTCTGTATTGATTTGAGCTTTTCCCCTTTTATATTCTTGTTCAACTTGAACTTTTATATTTTTAACCAAAATAGAACATCCAAATGAAGTGAATAATGTTATTTTATCGAAGTTTTGTCATCTTTAAATGCATTAATTTGTTCTATTTGATCTAAAAACATTATGTCTACTATTAGCTCAAAAGTTCGAAGAAAAAAATAAATACAGAGATAAAAATTTTTAAACTTTTAAAGTTTTTAAATGATTATTTAAAAAAGCAAAAATAAACAATAAGTATTAAATTATAAGAAGACAACAAAATTAAATTAAATAAAAAATCTTAATTATCGATAATATTGTGAACCAATTTACTAGCCAACAAAGCATTCACGCGCATCTTTTCTCTAGTAATGCCATGGAATGATCCACACTCCATTAAATTTTTGAAGCCAATTTTCTCCAAAAATGGGATATGATTGCTGCGTGTACGCGAATATAGTGGTTCTGAGACGGTGCATAAGATTGATTGAACAGAGTTGAGTATTGAGGCTGTGTCGCTACTTGTGATTATTTGATTCATTTTTGGTTGGAGAGTGTCATAACTATTCAATGAAAGAAATATTATTGTATTATGTGTAGAAAGACATTAATATACAAATGAAATACTTACACCAAAGCAAAAACTTCAGGAATGGCAACCGCTGCTTCCGACAAAAATCCATACAAGAACAACCTTTCAGGCTCATGTTCCGCATTTTGCAACATAGCCACCATCAAAGAAATTAACAATAAAGCCGTCTGATTATCGGGAATATCCAATCTGGGAAAGATTTTGTAATATGTGTTTGCGAGTTCAGAATTATCGACGTCCATATCATAAATTCCACAGACCCAAAGTAACTCTTTCATTTCAGCATTCTTCGCCGAGATTGGTAATAACGCGGCCAAGTATCCAAGCATGCTCGAATCGACGGTGTCTTGTTCAATGCCGATATCTTTTGACGATATCTCGAGGAACAAATTCAGAACGGTTTGTGTATCAGTTTTTGTGGCGGGATGTTTAAGACCTTTTAATAGGACGGCTGCTACAGCGAATGAGAAATGTTCATAATTTATACCAGCTTCATAGTCCATCGCCCCTGCTACTTCAGCCAATGGTGCACGAGCATCCAATAATACTTTTGCTATATCTTTTTGCTCGAAAAATCCATTTACGTCTAATGCTCGTAATACCACTTGTAAAAATTTTATTGCGCTCGGAAACACTAAAATATTCCCTATTTGTACTAATGACATTGCAAGCCAAAATAGTTGTCTGATGTATCGGCAGCTGCTGTTGAGATTTTCAACGATATTTGTTAGGCAAATTATTATGCTCACGATTAGAGAGACGTCGTTCTCGGAAAACAATGAAAGCGCACCGCGTAATGCAACAAGTATTTGATATAGAAGGTCATCATCGACTTCTTCACGTGCTAAACAACCAAGTGCGACAAATGCGCGTGGTTGTATAGCGGGATTATGTTGAAATGCTGTACTTGCCACAAGGCTCATCCATCTTGCTCTCCAAGTATTTGACATGTCTAAATGTATATACAATGATGATCAATAGAAAATTATAATTAATTCGAAAAAGATAAAAAATACCTACCTATAGATGGAGCACCACAGACAATAATTTCCAGCAAAGACTGCACAATCTGTTCTAATGAGGACAACGGCATCATCTCGGCATTATCATGGGTTGACTCATCAGTGCTAACAAATGCATTGCCAGCGACATTATTCAAACCGAACAATAGTTGAAATTTAGGTTCTGAAAATTCACTCAATAAGAAAGTAAGTCGTGCAGAGCTAGAATCATCTAATGGCATTGCAGTACATAATGATTGAATAAGATTGACGACTAGGCCATGAATAGATGCTCGAATTAGCGCTGGTCCAGTGGCAGCTAGTACCAAGACTATATAAAATAGCTCGGGGAGATATAGTTGCACGTGGAGTCGATTATTGAATGATAACATTAGGTTGAATCTCACAAGCACTGCAATTTCATCCCATGCTGGATTCTCGGTTAGTGTTCTTGTGAGTTTTAATGATGTTCGAGCGATTGCCTATTTAATATATAAATGGAAATATCTTAATTTTTTATTCAATAAAAAATTAAATAAAATTTAAAAGTGTAAGAAATTACCCTTCGAAGTCTTGATATAATTTTCCCCCGAACATTCACAGAAGATAATGTAACGATGGTGTTTGCCACAGTTTCCGTTTGCAAAGAATTGATTCCATTTTCGACAGCATATGCAACAAATTCACTGATTATCAAATTGGTGATTTCATCAACTTTTCCTAAAGTGTTCCAGATCTTTGATTGGACCGTGGTGTACATCTATATTGTAATATCGTCGCAGATTAGCAATTTAATTAAAACAATAAATCAATATAAAAAATATTGTTTTTACCTCAGACTCTTTGGTAGTCAATTCAATCAACTTCCTCAGAATCTCTCTTATTTTACCAACTCCAGGTTTGCTATCACTTCCGTTCTTGCTATATTGAGCCAAGTTTAATAGCCAAGGTGCCACATAATGAAGACAAAAATGTTTCAGAGAGGTACTTGATTTATTGAACCCAACGAAAAATTCGTTAAGGAATTCGATTGTGAGACCGGGCTCGGTCATGGCAAGTCGTTCACTTAATGTTACGGCAAAATTTGTATTATTTGCTGGTATACATAAGCCTACATAAACAAATAAATTGATTTAAAATCAGATACATGGGAATAGTGCGATAGATCAAATACCAAGATTGTCTATTAAATATATTCACCTTTTGCAGTTAGCAGTTGGTTTCCAACATCGAAATTAAATATGATACTTAATGCCACCAACAAATCGTAAGCTGCCAACCGTAAATTCGGATCCTCGCTACCAATATTCAAAAGTGCCATATTTAACAGCGTCCCTGGCACATCACTAGGACGAATAACACGCTCGGTGACATTTGATGGTTTCGTTAGTTGAAATCGAGCTTTTGACGCACGAATTGCTTGCATAATTTGATCTCGCTTTGGACTTGTGAACGCGGTTGACGAACGACCTTCATCTTGTTTTATGACAAATTCATTGTCATCATTTTTATGTGATGACAGTGTGATATCTTCGATTTCAGAAATGTGATATACGTCGTTGAGGATTACTTGTTGACCACTGAATAAATCTTGTTTTCGGGTCTATTTTTGGGAAAGAGAAAATTAAGGATTAACGAATTTGCTTAAATTTAAATTCGTTAAATATTAATATGTTAATGTATACCGTAATAACTTGTATCGTTTCACTGCTAATCTTCATAATAACAGGAACAGTAATCCTATAATGTGTTATTTTCGTGACAGGAGTAAACTGTGTGCAAGGTTCAGAATCAAGTTGAACTTGATAATAATAATGAAGAATTATATCAGTAAAATATCCTGAATATGATAAACATTTTGCCTATCTTCCCTTGCAAACTTACTAGTAGTCTTTGGCAACCGAATATCTGATGGTGCTATGTATTCATGTAACGCTGACAGCGAATTCATGAAAATAGCTTTTTTGCCGATTCTCTGGGACAATGGCTTTGGCAATTTCTTTGAAAACTTTTTGAATGCTGTGTTTGGATTATACATGTAAACATTTGCTAGATTCTCGACTGCATTGAACGGGAGAATCTGAATAAATTGTTGAATCCATTGAGTTTGTATTTCGTTGACTTGTGTGAATCGTGTTAGATCGATAACAACTTCAAATGGTTTTCCAATGAAAGATTCAATTGTCTTGTTTTCAATTATTATTAATTAGCAATACATGGCAGAATAAAGAATAACTAAAGAGTAAACTCAAAATATATTCTTACATGAAGGACAAGGTACATCAATAATTCCATATCTGTGGATTCTGAACTTAAACGACGAGCTATATAATAAAAGACAGGTCTTTTTTCCTATATGAAAAAAGGTTTACTCAAATCAGTCGGATCAATTAAATATAACAATGAATTACATATCAGCCAATCAATCATTGGAATAATAGATACTTTTGAAAGTCCATAAATATAAAATAATTCCGTCGATTTAATATAATCCAAATTTCGGTGCGAATTTTTTCGCATGAAATCCGTAAATAAGTGATGATTAGTCTCAAAATGTTGGTTATTAATGTTAGTGAATTCTTTTTTCTGTGTCTCAGGTGGAGGACCAAGTTTTGCAAGCAATGTTGATAGTTTATCATATGCACGCTTATTTGCTTGCATTTGTTCAATCTCCGAGAGAACATTTGCATTGCTACTCAATGGATTAAGTGCCGGATTTATGCGCCGTGTTATTAAATCTTTGCCAATTTTGTCAAGATTTTGGAATAAATGTTTGTGTAATAATTTTAAATCAGAATCGTCAACACGCAAATTGTCATTGTTATTGTTGTGGGTAGGATTTACGGTTACAATGGAACTATTGCCTAATGAGTTACTTAGTACATGTATATTGTTATTATTACTGACATCGCTTATTTTTGTGACTGGAATTTGAGGCAAGGGTGGTTCCTGCAATAACCATTTCATTCAACAATTATTTTTATTAAAATTCGAGGGATGATTATTAGCTTAAAATCAACAATAGATAAAACTCACCGAAATCTCCTGCAAGAATCTGATAACCTTATTTATATTGTCTTCCAATGGTTCCTTGGCACCAAGCAGTGCATTATTCGCAATATACGTGATATTTCTAGCAGACAAGAGCAAGCCTCGACTCATTTCTTTGCTTGGTGCTTGTTTTACGAGATTGTCCGAATTGGGAGCAACGATTACCGGACAAAAGAATCGCAAGAAAATGAATGCGCCAACTGCGGTAAATTTTGATTGTGGGAACCGTTTTTCAGTCGAAGTTGCTATGTAATAACAGACTTCTCTGAATGATCTTTTTTGTAGTTGTAATTAAATCGAAATTAGTTAGTATTGATAACGAGGATTCAATATTGTATAAAGTACGCGTGTAAATTATATTATATAAATTTAAACCTTGGAACATTCTTAGTCGAAGCACAAATTTCATCCAGAATCAATTGAGCCTGATGACTCAAATTCGAACGATTATTCTGTATATTTTCACCGCTTCCGTTTCGAACCTCGTCATGTTCATTGGCCGGATTATCCAAAATATTCTGAAGAAGAGGTTGTAACGTTTCACGTAGATATTCTGAACCATGCATTTTTGCGAATACACTTAGCAATTTGGCGGTCATGCAGTTTTGACGTAATAGTTCGGCTTCATTCTCTATATACATGTAACATGAATATATTAATTTTTTAATAGATAAATTCTAAAATACCTCTATATAAGAACATGATTGAGACCCAAAAACTATTTCTTATAAAATGTAATTGAGTTCTTATATAGTGGGAAATTTTAATATACTTCATGATAGCTTTGTTTTTGAAAGTTGTTCTTATCTCAAGCTGTTCTTAAAACAGAAATTTACTTACCAGTGCTGAACACTTCTTTTTCAATCACAGCCTTCATGAGAGCCATCGTACTTCCCCGAGATTCAAATATCATTAATAACATATGTGCAACCTCGTCAATGTCAAAGACCGGACAAACTTCACATAGAGATAATACAATACTAAGATCGGAACCAGTGATTAACTGAATTCCAAAAAGAAAGGATCAATCATTTTATTGAAGTCATTTATTTTATTTATTTATAATGACAAGAAATAAGAAAAATAAAACATTAATAGAATAATAATTTACCTCGACCAATTTAACATATTGGTCATTAATGGCGTTTTCGGCGAGCCCGTCAAACTCAGCTCCCTGTTTTAAGATATTAGTGAGCACTTGCATAAATGCCGTTCTGGTTTTTGTGTCTTCGTGATATCCCATCGACAATGAAACCTCTAGCCCGGCGTCAACATTTGCGCTTAGGAGATTTGATAGGGCGAGAATGGTGTAATCTTTTAATGGACCGAGATCTTTCACATATTCTTTGGACTGTTGATTCATAAATAATTTTTTTGTTATAAAATTCTTATATTAAACACGCATACTAAACAACAGGCATAAGAAAATAATTGAAATAAAATGTAAATTTACTCTCAACAGCAACATTTGTAAGTCATTATTGTTTTTCGCGGAATGTGATCCACTGTCGATTGCCTTTATTAAATAAAATAAAATTCTTAAATAAACAATAATATTGATGCTATATTAATATAAGAAAAATATATGTCATACCTCCAGAATACGACACCGATTTAAAAGCTTTATAAAGAAAGAAAAGTACTTGTAAAATAAACGTGCTTTTGTTAAACTTAAGTTAACCTCGTGCGTTACATCTGAAGGTTGTAATGGTAATTGTGCCAGCAACAGATGAACCGTTTTAAGACATGCTTGATCCAGATCACGTTGTAATCGTTCATTCTTGCTTGGTATCATTTCCGAGATTTGATTCTCCTCAGTTTTTATCGGGAAATCTGAAGTCCATTCGATAATAATCTCCAGCAATTTATTACGTAGCTTAATTTCTTGCCTTAACGTAATATAGTCTTTTTTGGCCATTAAAATTTCACAAAGTTGACACATTTTCACTTTTATTCGTAGTGCGACATGGCCAGTGCCAAGACGATGTAGATATCGAGCGAACGATAATACCAAGCCTCCGAAATCGACGCT